ATCGCTGATGCATCGGCGATGCAACAGCAACGTGGGCAATGCATCGGCGATGTCGGCGACGAGAATCTCGGGCTCAAGATCGAGCAGCATCGCCGATACATTGGCGATGCTGCGGCGTCATCCTCCAAAATATTATGCTGAGGCGACTGTGTGAAGCTGGTCAAAATATTATGCCGCAAAGGTGTCGACCCTGTCGGCGTGTGTGAGGGGCTTCTCCGTTCGAGTCGTCGTCGCCGTCATTGGTTAATCCTCGTCTCTGTCGTCCTCTTTCCTTGCGCTCTCCTTTCCCTGTGCCCGTCGCCGCTCCCTCCTATTTGCCTGGGCCCTCCTCCGCAAGCGCGCCAGCCAAAGCGAAATTGAGCAATGTCGAAACAAACAAGAAAGGACGCCCCTTCCCTTTGATCCCTTCCCGCCCGGGAGGGGGGGGTCCCGGGTCTGGTCCCGGGGCGGGGGGTCCTGGGGGCAGTCCCGGGGGGGGTCCCGGGAGGGGGTCCTGGGGTGGGGTCCTGGGTCAGATGCGACTCTCCCCCAGAGTGTCCTGGAGCCGAAGAAGTCCAAGACGAGCCCCAAGAGGCCCCCAAGACGGTCCAAGAGGGATTCCAATCGCCGAACGATCTGTCCAATACGTCTTCACGGCCTCCAGACGTCGCAAGAGTCCTGCAAGATGCCCCAAGAAGCCTCCAGGAGCATTCCCAAGAGGGCCCCCAAAGAAAAACTCATAGTTGTTCCATTGGTTTTTGAAGCATTTCGGCCTTCTCGCCTCTTCTTCTTCCCGACGCTCCAAGACTGCCCAAGAGGCCTCAGATCGCTCCAAGACGATCGAAGAGGCCTCCAGGAGAGACCTCAAACGGCCCAAGAAAGCCCCAAGACGGCCCAAGACGCCTCCAAGACGGCCCAAGAGGCCCCCCAGACGGCTCCAAGAGCGTGCCCAGATGATGGACCAGAGAGGACAGTTCGAGCCCTCGGCCCCGAGAGGCTCCCAGGAGGAACGAAGAGGCCCCCAAGAGGCACCAAAGAGGCCCAAAAGCCTCCGACGACGCCCCCCCTGGAATCCCCAAGAGGCCCCCACGAGCCTCCAACGAACCCCCAAAGAGGCTCCCAAGACGCCCCTGAACTGTCCCCCAGAGGCCCCCGAGAGCGCTTCGAAGACACCCCGAGAGGCTCCCAAGACACCCCTGAGGACTCTGACCTACGTCACAGGAATGATCACCAAAGTCCCCAAAAAGCCCCCCAGGAGTCCACGAGCAGCCCCGGGAGCACCCTGAAAAGCAGCCCAAGAGTTCGATGCTTTTCGCACTCTCGCCTTTTCGAGCTTCAGACGTCCCAATGTTTTCGAGCCTCAGACGCCCCAAGATAGCCTAAGAGGCCCCCCAAGGTCGCCCCGAAGACGCCCCAAGGGGCCCCCGAACTCGCCCCAAGACAGCCCCAAAATGACCCAAAAGGACTCCGAGAGAGACCCAAACCGGCCCAAGAAGGCTCCAGACGCTCCGAGACGCCTCCACGAGAGCCCAAGGGGCTTCCAAGAAGGCTCCGAGAAGGGCTCCAGAGCATCACCGTCGTCGTCGTCGTCGTCGTCGTTGTCGTCGTCGTCGTCGTTGTCGTCGTCGTCGTCGTCGTTGTCGTCGTCGTCCTCGTCGTCGTCGCCGTCGTCGACGTCGTCGTCGTCGCCCTCGCCATCGCCATCGCCATCACCGCCGCCGTCGCTGTCGCCGTCGGCCTCGACATCGCCATCGGCGCCGCCGCCGTCGTCGCCGTCGCCGTCGCTGGCGGCCCTGTCTCCCAAGCTGGGTTGTCCCCCTCCCTCCCCCTATCCTTCTTCTCCCATCCCTCCCTCCTCCCTTCCACCCTGCCTTGCTTCAATCCTGCTTCGCCCTTTCTGTGCGACGCCCAAACGTTGCCACTGCAAACGCTGACCCCGTCCCCCATCGACACATCCGCCAGACCCTTTACGGGGACACCGGGCTCCGTAGCCTAAGCAGCTACCCTCTGCCAACCACCAATTGTACATCCTAGGTCGATGCTTGGTGGTCCCCGGATCGTTGAAGGCGCCCGAAAGTCAAAAACATCAGAATACCCCTAGTCGTGAATCTTCCACGACGCGGGGGTGCCTGGATCCCCGGACATCCCTCTTCCTCATATACGCGCCCCTGCGCCCCTCTCACCTTGTTTGTATTAGAGCACCTGTTGGATGTCTTGCGGGACTTCTGCAGCTTTTCAAAAGCGTCCCCCCCTCCCTCGGTCCTCCGACTCCTCCTCGTCTCCCCCCCTCCCGAAGAGCACCAAGACGGCTCCACGAGGGTGCCCAGACGGAAGACCGAAACTGACATCTGGAGCCCTCGGCCCCAAGAAGCTCTCCGGAGGCCCCTAAAAGGGTCCTTCCTCGTGCTCTTCCTCCTCCTCGTCCTCGCCGTCGTCGTCGTCTTCAGGGTCGGCGGCACTGGCCGTAAGGCCTTCTCCAACATTCTGCCGCAAAAGTGTCATTCTTACGCCGTGAACTTGCAAAGGTCACCTCTCGCAGACCGCTCAAGAACGTAGATGCCTCCAGGCTGTCACAGCAACATTGGGTCGTGCAGCTTCATGTTGCGTGTGGGCGTTACCAGCTGCGCCGAAGAATTCCCGTGGCTTCTCAATCCGCCGCCATGCCTTCATCACGTGGTGGAGTGCCCGCAGGCCCATTCGGATGTGAGTCGCAGAGGGTCTGGGCAGGACAGGCCCCGAAACAGGAGCCCAAGATGGCACCAGAGGGTTCCAAGACGACTACAGAGGGCGTCCAAGTCCACGAGCATGGCCGCACCTTCGCTCAACTGATTGCTTTGTTGTTGATGTTCCTGTTGCGTCGCAGAATCAAGACGGCACCCCGTGCCTCTCACGGAAAAGAACGACCTTTCCCCAAGGGCGAGCGTGACTGCGCCTGGCTGTCACGCTCTCCCATGAGAGAGTACATCCTTTCTTCAATGTGGGCATTACCCCCGCGCCTATGACTCTGTCAAATAGCTTGTGCGAGAAAGCGTTAAAGACAACCGGTTGATATCAGAAATCCGGAACCAACGCAACAACATAGTATGCATGAATAGCCATGTATTCCGGACGCTCCAAGGCACAACAACCAAACGAACACCAAATGCTTCGCATAGAGACTTTTTCAACTGGTCACGTTCGCACAAGTCCTGGAATGCACGCTCGCCTCCAAGCTCGTTCCAAAAATTGCCAGGGTCGTAATGCTGCTGCCCATTATACTCAAAAGCCAGCTGGAGGGATTCGCAATAACCATCTAACTCGAGCGGCCGGCCTTTCCGACCAATCAGAAAAGCAGGCCTTCGGGTTCTGAAGATGCGTCCTGGGAAAATCGTTTCCAACACATGTCGAATTTGTCGCTGAGTCTTTCCAGCCGCGCAATGGGGACACCAACTTCCAGCATCTTTTACATTATTCAATGTGGCATCCCATTGGTGACCGCACTGGCACTGCCAGCGCATCTTCGTGTAATTAGTCCTGTAGGTCAAAGATAAGCAGCTACCACCCCGTGCAATCGCAATACGTCTTGCGACATCTAATTGGCGGCTGCGGTTTGCGTGCAGTCGATCACTTAAACACACAGGGCACCAGGATCCTCGATATTTCACCCTCTGAAGCGCGGCAAACCAAGTATGGCCGTGACCACACTGCCATTGCAACTGTGCTCTCACATTCGCGCAGCTATCCGACAAACAGAAGCCCCCGCGGGTGGCGGCTAAGTGCCTTGCGCCCTCAATGCCTATAGGAGCCTTGCGTGCGCACTGCGGGCACCATGTCTTATTCCACTTGACATTACTGAAGGAGGCGAACCACTCGTGCCCAAACCCACACCTCCAATGTAACAAGGAATGAGCGTTCACGTATGACGCCGATAAGCAAACGCCGCCTCTTGCCTCAGCAATGCGGATGGCATGACCCAATGTGAGAGGCGCATTGCCGGCACAATGAGGGCACCAATGGCCAGCTCGGATAGATTGCAAGCCAACTGCCCATTGATGGCCATCGCTGCATTGCCATTGTAGCAGCTTGCTCCGTGTCTTGTAGGTGTCTGATAAACACACGCCCCCTCGTAGGCCCGCGAGCTCATGGGCAATTCTTATACCACACTTTGCATATCTCTGGGGCATATGTGCGAACATACTGCTGCAACGCTTCCTCCCCAGTTCCGTCGAACGTCACGGCGAGTGCAATGCCTGAAAGGACAGCCGAGGTCCTCAGACCTTGCGCCATGCTAGCTTGCATCAAAAGATCTTGAGACAAAATGGCTACGTACGGACACTTTCGCTCCACTAGTCACCGCGCATGCGTTTCGAGGGCGGTGATTCGCCCAGGCATCTACTAGCTGGTGAACATGAGGAGCAATCGTGCGAGGCGGGTATCAAACACGACGTGTGCTTATAAGCACACGTCGGGCAGTGGGGCTGTGAACATCCTGTGCGGTGGCGTTGTAAGCCTTACATGCTGCCACCGTACGGCATGTCGACACCCCCACTGCCCCGCTGCCTGTGTCAAACTCCTCCTCCAAAAGGGGACGCCCTGGTCACCACAGCCAAACCGCCTCGAGAAGACTTGTCAGAACGCGTTCCAGGAGAGATCCGGGGACGAACATTTGGCGGAATGAGAAAATAACAAATTACCGCTACACCCCAAACCTATTCCAGAGTGCGTTCTGCCCAGAATGTCGAGGCGAATCCAGCCGTGGCGACGAGGGCCTCCCAGGAGGCCCGAAAAGAGAAACACAAGGCAATGGCAGCGGCATCGAATCAGTACTTTCCCCTCCTCTGAATTTGGCGAGAGGCATATGAGCGCGGGAAGGAGGAACAGGATCATGAGGACGAGGAGGAGAAGGGAGGAGGAGGAGGAGGAGGAGGATGAGGAGAAGAGGGAGTAGGAGCCACTCATTGATCGAGCGGCGCGGTCACTCAGCGGGAGGTCGCTGGGCAGAGCCCGGCCGCCGATAGACCACGTTGCACAGGGGCTCGCCCCGCAGGCAGCGCGCCAGGTTGTCGACGATCTGCGCCGCGCAGCGCTCCTCGCGGCCGGCGGTCCAGCCGCTGGTCGGCGGCGGGCCAAGTGGGTGCTGATGGGTTGAGGCGACGGCCGCCCTTTCATCGAATAAAACAAAAAACAAAACAAGGACGACGCGACGACGACGACGACGATAATGACGACGACGACGACGAGGACGACGACGACGACGACGACCGACGACGACGACGACGACAACGACGAGAACAACGACGACGACGACGACGACGACGGCGACGACGACGGCGACGATGGCGACGGCGGCGGCGGCGAGCGCGAGGAGGCCAAGTAGGAGGAGGAGGAGAAACAGGGGGGTGGAGGGCAGAGGAAGAGAGGGCGGGCCTTCTCAGAGGGCTCAGCAGGCTTGGGGCCTCCCGAGAAGCTCCCACAACCTCCTCGGGGGACGCAGACAGCTTCGCGGCAGGCGGGGGACCTTCTGAGAAGGCCTGCCCCATCTCGCGCCACCCCTCGGCAGCGCCGCCGCGCTGGTGTGCGGGCTCATCACCACGTTGGCCAGGGTGTGGAAGGGGTGGCTCTCCTGCGAGAAGGGCGCGCAGGTCCGCTGGCGCTTCTGGAAGAGGGAACACAACCACGCAAACATGCACTTAGGAAGGTCTGCGCGGATTGCTTGGATCGATGCTGGGCTAGACCACTCGCCGTGGCGCGCGGAGCGCGACAGCGGCGGCGCTGGAAGCCCCGCCAGGTGGGAGGGGGGCAGCGCAGATCCAAGAAATCCGCGCGGACTTCCTAAAGTTTGTGTCTACGCAATTGTTCCTTCTTCGCGCTTCGCGAGGTCCGGGAGCCGCCACCACACGTCCAGGATGGCGCCCCCGATCCTGCCCTCCCGCAGCGCCGAGAAGAGCGCCGCCTCGTCGACGACGGGGCCGCGGGACACGTTGATCAGCACCGCGCGCTTGCGCATGAGCTGAAGCTGCGGCGCGCCGATCAGCCCCCGCGTGCCCTCCGTGATGGGTCGGTGATCCTCAGGGCGTGTGTTGGCGCCAACGTGTGCTCGTCCACCGAAGTCCTTCAACACGACGCGGGCGGCGTAGAACGAGGGCCGACCGAGCGGGCTAAACTGTGAGAGGCGGCGATGGAAGGGCAGCGGTAGAGGGGGAACGGGCTCGGGGGGGAGATATCGACCTGGAATCGGATAGGCATACACACACATCTATAGTTATACATCTATACGTAGATGTATCGCCGATCGGTCGGCGACAGGCCCTCGATGGCGAATCCGCATGTTCCTGGGATGGGTGGGCTATTGGGCACATGTCGGCGATCAATGGGCGATTGGGGGTCGATGCACCCCCCCTTGAGCCTATCCCCCGTACCGTGACCCCTGAAACTCACGTCCCTAAGATCACCGAATGGGGCACGACAAGAGCACGAAGTCCGACTCCCGCAACAACCGCTCCTGGGCATACAAAATGCTACCAATACCGTTGATCCCCAGACCTGTCGCGACGATGGCCTCCCAGAAGACCCAAAAAGGGGAAGACGAGACCTGGGTAGGGGTATCAATACTTTTTGGTATTCCACCGCGCCGCCGCCGTCGTCGTCGTCGTCGGTCGTCGGTCGGTCGTCGGTCATCGGTCGGTCGTCGGTCGTCGGTCGTCGGTCGTCGGTCGCCGACCGTCGGTCGTCGGTCGTCGTCGTCCTCGTCGTCGTGGTCGTAATCGTCGTCGTCCTCGTCGTCGTGCTCGTCGTCGGTCGTCGGTCGTCGTCGTCGTCGTCGTCGTCGTCCTCGTCGTCGTCGTCGGTCGTCGGTCGTCGGTCGTCGATCGTCGGTCGTCGGTCGTGGGTCGTGGGTCGTCGTCATCATCGTCGTTCGTGTCGTCGTCGTCGTCGTCGTCGTCGTCGTCGTCGTCGTCGTCGTCGTCCATCGTCGTCGTCAACGTCATCGTCGTCGTCGTCGTCGTCGTCGGTCGTCGTCGGTCGGTCGTCGTCGTCGTCGTCGTTGTCGTCGTCCTGGTCGTCGGACTTTTGTCGTCGGTCGTCGGTGGTGGGTCGTGGGTCGTCGTCGTCGTCGGTCATCGGTCGTCGGTCGTCGTCGTTGTCGTCGTCCTCTTCGTCGGGCGTCGGTCGCCGGTCGTCGTCGTCGTCATCGTTCTCGTCGTTCTCGTCGTCGGTCGTCGGTCGTCGGTCGTCGGTCGTCGTCGTCGTCGTCGTCGTCGTCGCCGCCGTCGTCGGTCGTCGTCGTCGTCGTCGGTCGTCGGTCGTCGGTCGTCGTCGTCGTCGGACGTCGGTCGTCGGTTGTCGTCGTCGTCGTCGTCCTCGTCGTCGGTCGTCCGTCGTCGGTCGTCAGTCGTCGGTCGTCGGTCGGCGTCTTCGTCGTCGTCCTTGTCAGCGATCGTTGGTCATCGGTCGTCCGTCGTCAGTCGTCGGTCGTCGGTCGTCCGTCGTCGTCGTCGTCGTCGTTGCCGTCCGTCGTTGCCGTCCGTCGTCGTCGACCGTCGTCATCGTCGTCGTCCTCGTCGTCTTCGTCGACGTCGTCGTCGTGCCGCTGAGCTCCAGGTCCGCCGCGCCGGCCCCCAACCACTCCAGCGGCGGCTCCACGGGCCGCCGACGCCCCGCGGTCGCCACGAGGCGCACGCCGAAGGCGGCGGCCCGCGCGGCGACCGCGCGCCCGATGCTGCCGAAGCCGACGATGCCCAGCGTCTTGCCGCGGAGCTCCTCACGCTTGGGCGGCGGCGGCTGCTGGTAGAAGGGGGCGCTGAAGCCGGCGTCCGCGCCCTGCTGCGCTGCCGCCCGGCAACTCTCTCGCATCAACTCGGGCGTTGCTAGAAAGGTCCTGGCCCAAGCTTGCTACCGCTCGGACGTCCGTTCCCCGTGCGTTGTTTGGTGTCGTGCGCGCTTGCCCTCAAGAGTATCCAAGATGCTCCCAATTGGTCCAGAGATTCTGGCGCTGGCCTCGCCGGGAAAAATGCAGACGTGCGAGCGATCTCAAGCAGGGTGGCCCCAGTTTGTCGCGCCATCTTGGAGCCCCATCGGGCCCCTCTGGGCCTCGCGAGGGGTGCTCCGGAGGCCGTCTTCGACTCCAGGAAAATCCTGGGGACACCCTGGGCCAGGGGCACCCTTGGCAACGCCCGATCAGTGCGTCGGCGTCGGAGGTGCGGCAGATCCACTGCAGCATCTGGCAGAGCACCCACTCGGATATGCCCACGTCCTTCGGGGGGACGTGAAGGTGCGCCAGGGGCAGAGCCGGGTTTGGGAGGAGCATCGCTCCAAGTGCCCCCCTGGGATAATGACATGTGAGCATCCAGCTGGAGGAGGAGGAGGAGGAGGAGGAGGAGGAGGAGGAGGATGAGGAAGCAGGAGGAGGAGAGGAGGAGGAGGAGGAGGAGGGGAGGAGGGGAAGGGGAGGAGGAAGAGGAGGGAGGAGGAGGAGGAGGAGGAGGAGGAGGAGGAGAGGAGGAGGAGGAGGAGGAGGAGGAGGAGGAGGAGGGGGGGAGGGGGGGAGGAGGAGGAGGAGAGGAGGAGGAGGAGGAGGAGGAGGAGGAGGCTCCTCCTCCTCCTCCTCCTCCTCCTCCTCCTCCTCCTCGTCCTCCTCCTCCTTGGCTCGCTGCTGACCCCACCTTGGGGCAACACCCTCTCTACCAACCCCCGAGTCCTGGTCGTGCACGTTGCACACCGCCACGCCCGGCGGCACCGCCCTCTCGTCCAGCCACTCCGTGCCCACGAAGGGCACCTGCAGCAGGCGCAGGTGCTCCCCGGCGGCCCGCAGGTGCGCGTTCGTGTCCCCCATGCCGCCGACGAGCACCACCGCCCGCGAGAGCTGCCGCGCCAGCTCCGCGGGGTCGTCGCTCTCGAGGATCGGCCGCTCAAAGGTGGGGCACTGAGGGGTGGGGCCCTTCAGGACAGGAGGTGGACCACGAAGCTGAGCCTCCACTGCTTGAACCCACTCGTTCTGAGGGCCCCGTCCCTCAGGGCCCCGTCTTCGAACCGCCGAGAGGAGGACGGCCCACTCGCTCCCCGCCAGCCGCTGCTGCAGCAACCCGCCGAAGATGCCCCGGATGTGGCCCGTGACGAGCACCACTGGCGGAGCCGCCATCGCACGGGGCCACGCGCGCGTACGACCGCGGGCGGCCCTGGCGGCGCGTGCGCGCGCTGCTGGCAGCCCAGGCCACCGATCGTGCAAGACTTATCTGACTGCAACGCAGGAGGAGAAGGAGGAGGAGGAGGAGGACAACCACGACGACGATCGGTAGCAGTTGCGGGAGGAGCTGCAGTCCGCACCTGAAGATCGTCGGACATGGCTGGTGGCGGCTGGACATCAAGATTCTCTCAGATTGGCTACACACCTCGTCGATCGCCCTCGTCGGTCTCGTTCTTGTCCCTCTGGATGCTCACGGCCGTCCTCCAGTCTCCCTCATCCTGCCCCTACACTGCTTACCTTACCTCCGTCTCGTCCTTTCTCTTCTCCTCCTCCTCATCCTCCTCCTCCTCCTCCCTCCTCCTTCTCCTCCTCTTCCTCCTCCTCCTCCTCCTCCGCCCGCTCATCAAATGCCTGCTTCCTCTCCTCCTCCACCTCCTCCTCCCGCTCCTGCCAATCCTCCCGTTCCTCCCGCTTCTCCTTCTCATCCTCCTCCTCCTCCTCCTCCTCCTCCTCTCCTCCTCATCATCATCATCATCATCATCATCATCATCATCATCATCATCATCATCATCATCAGCATCATCATCATCATCATCATCATCAGTATCAGCAGCAGCATCGATGTCATCACCATCATCGTCATCATCATCAGCAGCATCGTCATCATCATCAGCAGCAGCATCATCAGCAGCAGCAGCAGCATCAGCAACATCAGCATCAGCATCAGCATCATCAGCATCATCATCATCATCAACATCATCAGCATCTGCATCAGCATCAACATCAACATCATCATCCTCATCCTCACCCTCATCCTCATCCTCCTCCTGTGATGCCTTCTTACCGTGATTTGTTCTGCTGCATCTGCCACCTCTGCCTTTTCAAGCCCCAAGGCTCGGAAGAGGATCCTTTTCTCCACTAGGGCAGAAGGGGCAGGAAGCCCCCCCTCTCGGCCCTCTCCCCTCTCCCCTCGCCAAAGCCCTCAGTCCCGCTGAACTCGGAGTACCTTCTGAGAATCCTCGAGAACGCCCGAACGGTGGCAAACTGCCAGCCTTCCTCGTCCCTTTCGTCCTCTTCGTTCCTTTTCCTCCTCCTCCTCCTCCTCCTCCTCCTCATTCCTCCTCCTTATCCTCCTCTCCTCCTCCCTCCTCCTCCTCCTTCCTCCTCCTCCTCATCCTCCTCCTCCGCTTCCTCCTCCTCCTCCTCCTCCCAGTCCCCAGCCATTCCTCTCGTAAGCGGCCCGCGCGCACGGCCCTTCCGAGTCAGGATGCCAAACTTGGGGATGACACTGACACCTGGAGCCCCGTGCACCTCCTCTGCTGCGGTCTAGGCCCAGCAGAGGGGAAGGCGCGCAAGATACCTGCAGCACGGCCAGGGTGATGCACCCAATGCACCCAGCCCCGTTCCTCTTCCTCCTGTTCTGCTTGCCCTTCCTCGTCCGCCTATGGGTGCAAGCAAGCAGCTCGACTGGGCGCACTGCGCGCAGGAGCAGGGCTAGGCGGCTGATGACGGACGGTGGGAGCATTGCTTGCTATGGCCTTTCGGCCAGGCTAGCGGCCAACATGGCAATAGGCTTGTGCCCGACCTGCCATACACGAAGAGCGCCACCACCTTGAAGGTATCGCGGACGAGGGACATCGTGGCCGCCGTAGAGGAGTGCTGCGACTGTCGTGGCTGGGCCCGGCCCAGGCCCTACGGGGCAAGCAACGCAGACGCGGTGCAGCTGGCCTACGAGCTACACTACGGCTGCTGTTGGCAGCAACGTTGGTGAGTTGTTTTGCCAATCAACTGGCGAGGGTGTTATCTGTGCTGGGTTCATGCTGTCGCGCTCATGCTCTCAGCTCTACATCGGACTGGCAAAGTACGCTGCGTACGTCAACGTTTCCATATTGATATAAAACGTGTGGAGATGTCCTCACGGATCAGAGCTTTCGCTGAGTGTATGTGCAACGTTTGCGGTCATTCATTGGTTTGCTGCGCACTCCCATCAGTTGTGTTTCTTGGTATCGAGTGGCTTTAGTATGTGCCGCATGGTCTTTTAACGGTCTCCACACATAAAAGCAGGAGCGCCCATGTAAGCTATGACTCACACGGTGCGAGCCCTTTTCATGTAGTGCTTTCCATGTGCGCGGGGGCTAAGTAGCAGAATCCTAGCAGGATCCTCTCAGTCCCCCCCACAATCCTCCCTCTCGTTCCTATCCGATCCCCCTCCTCCTCCTCCTCCTCCTCCTCCTCCGTCGCCTCCTCTCCCCTCCCCCTCCTCCTCCCCCCTTTCCCCCTCCCCCTCCCAGAGGAAAGTTCCCCTCCTTCCCCCCCCATAGGCAGAAAAAACGGCAGGCGGGGCGGACGCCCCAGCGGCGCCTCCGGAGAGCCCTCGCTGCCCAGGTCCGCAGCCTGCAGCTCCTCCTCCTCATCCTCATTCTTCTCCTCCTCCGCCTTCACATCTTCCTCCTCGTCCTCCTCCTCCTCTTGATCATCCTTCTCCTCCTCCGCCTACTCCTTTTCGTTTTCCTCCTCCTCCACCCCCTCGTTCTCCTCGTCCTCCTCCTATCCTTATTCCTTATATTTATATACCCCCACCTACCTCGTATTCCGGCCGATAGCGACCCAATCCGGGACCTCCCATCCGGACTCTAAAAAATCAATACAAAGTGGCCGTTTTTCTTCTCAACATCGTCTTTCTTGTCGTCGACGATGCGAAAGAGTGGCAGGAATGGGACGCGGCGCACATCGCGCGCAGCAGTCAATCTGGGCCCGCCCGCCCTGACTGTAAAAAATCAATACAAAGTCTTCGTTTTTTCCTCTCAGCAATGCCTGCCTTGTCGCCGACCGTGCGAAATATGTGGCAGGAATGGGACGCGGCGCACATCGCGCGCGGACGTCCATGCGGGCTGCGGGCCCTCCCATGCGGACTAGTGCTACCAGTACCATTGGTACGACTACGACTGCTACTACTACTACTCCTGCTACTACTTGTTCTGCAAATTGTACTACCAACGGCATTACTATTTGTCTAGCAGCAGTACAAGTATTACTAGCATTTCTACTGTCATAGTGCTACTACTCTGTACTACTAATCGTACGAGTACTTGTACTACCTGTAATACTTCTGCTTATACGACTCGTATTATTACTCGCACTACTAGTACTACTACATATTCGTATCCCCACTATACTACTACGACGACTACTACTACTACTACTACTACTACTACTACTACTACTACTACTACTACTACTACGACTACTACCATTACTTCTACTACTACTACTACTACTACTACTACTACTACTACTACTACTACTACCACTACCACTACTACTACCACTACTAGTTCTACGACTACAACTACTACAACTACTACAGCAACTACTACTACTACTACTACTACTACTACTACTACTACTACTACTACTACTACTACTACTACTACTACTACTACGCGCCAGCACCCAATTGCGCCAGCATGGTTTCTTATGGTGTGTGAGGGCGGAACGTGTCCGTTGTTCGTTTCAACATGGCCAGTCTTGTCGTCGACGATGCGAAATTCGCGGCGGAAATGGGACGCGGCGCACATCCCGCGCGGACGTCAATGCGGTGTCCTGGAGTATCCTCCACTCGCACTTAAATGCCCGCGCAGCCCCCAGTTGTGCCATCACTGTTTCTTATGTTGTGGGAGAGCGGGTGGGAACGGGCATGCAATGCTTGACTCGCTCGAGCTGGCTAGCTTGACACATACTCCTGCTCCTACCCCCCCCCCCTCCTACTCCTACTCAGACCCTTTCTCCTACGACGACTACTACTACGACTACGACTACCGCCACCACCACAACCACCACCACCACCACCACCACCACCACTACTACGAGTACTACTACTACTACTACTACTACTACTACTACTGCTGCTTCTACTACTACTACTACTACTACTACTACTACTACTACTACTACTACGACTACTACTACGACTACGTCTACGACTACGACTACGACTACGACTACGACGACTACTACTACTACTACTGCTACTACCACTACCACTACCACTACTACTACTACTACTACTACTACTACTACTACTACTACTACTACGACTACTACGACTACTACTACTGCTACTGCTACTGCTACTACTACTACTACTACTACTACTACTACTACTACTCCTACTCCTACTCCT